AAGCTTCTCCTTGTGTTGGATAGGAATAACTTTACACTGCAGCCAGGCTACTCATATGCAGACTGCCATTTGGCTATGTGAGCCTTGTGAGAGTATCCTTCCATTCCCAAAATGTGCTGCTTTCCCCCCTTCCAAAAGAATGCCAGCAGATGTAAAATAAATAAATCTGCTTACTAAACATTCCATATAATTCTTCAGCTGATGTCACATGAAACCTAATAACTTGGAGAAATGTAAAATTAGTATGGCTCCATGACTGAATACAAAATTTATACACTTCAGTGGATTTTTGAGCTTCACGGGCCCAGATATTATTTGATTGCTTGTCTTCATATATCTGATCATTGCAGGGCACATATTTGTGCCAGTATACTGGAGAAAAACATAACAGCAAGCGATATGTTAATAGACAGAAAACCAAAATGTCAGCATTGAGTACTTCACAAGAGAAAGTTGAATGTTGCTGGGGATCACAGCCAACACTGCACAATATTAACAAGGAGTTCCAACCAGAATTCATATACTACTTGTATCCCAATACCATCATGTTAACATACATTGCTGGATTATGGATAACTTGGTGTGCTTTTACAAACTATTATTTCAATATATTTACTACAATTATGTTCTATAATTTGGATTTTTCACTACTTCATACTACCCTTCACCCTATCAGTTTGAATTAGTAAGGTTTCACTGTAGGCAAAACAGTACCACAGATATGAGGATTAAAAACAAACAAGCAATACTTAAAAGCAAATTAACTGAAAAAGTCATGTAAATCTGGAGCAAGTATGAATGTCTGTCACAAGTTTATCACCAGTTTTATTGATTCCCAGGCCGAATCTGCTGTTATTTCTCACACACAACTATAATTCCAAACTTTTCATCCTATGGTCCTAACCTAGCCAGAAACCACATTTACATTATATATATATAAAATCTCAAATGACATCTTCAATCCTAATTTTGTCTGGGCCAGAGGCTGCAAACAACTGACCTATATATATTATTACCTATCACATTAATCTAGGCATAAGAAAATGAAAACAAAATTGTTACTTTCATGAAATAACTGTTTTAGCAACATCCCTTTGTATAAACTAGGCTTAATTATTGCATTATAATTTCATTATTGAAGAATTTTTAAGTGGTAGGAAGGCATATATTAATGAAGAACAAACTAAACAGAAGTCTGGCAACAGGACAGTGCAGAGATAGGTAGGACCTTGCAGAAACGTCTCCAGTGTTATAGTTTGAAATTAACTCATAGCTGAAATTGTCAACAAAATTCTACAATAAATGAATATATGTCACCATACTGAAAAAGTACATAACATGAAATATTCACCTCATTACTTCTGTCATGGTGTAGTCACAGAAATTTCAATGGCAAATGTGTAAAATATTTGTAAAATAACATGGTAATTAACGTCTATGTATACCACAGTCTGTCAATAATGCAACAATTGTTCCTTTTTTTTTTATTCCTCCAATTTCACCATTTAACACTTAATACAACATGCATTGGCCATAGATGGCCATCTTCAGGTGCCTCAATGTATCAAAACTGCTACACTGTTTTGATGTGCACTGAAACCAGGCACTACAGTCCACTTAGAAATAAAATAAAAATAATTAATTAAAATCCATTAAAATTTTCTATTAAAACTTTCCTCATTACTTTTGTAAAATCCTATTTCACCTTATAAGGGGCATCGTCCACTTGTTTAGAGCTATGTGATTTATTCAGATGTTTTATTTCAGCAGCTTGCTTTTATATTCGTTAGTCCATTGTTTGCTACGTCTGAAATCTGCAATAAGCCCCTTGCTTGTGTGTTGTTCCCTCTAGCAGCATGTGGTGTTGTCTTCATTTCACACCACATGCTGCTAGATGAACATACGGGGATATACAGGGCACATACTGCAAGCAAACCAGTAACCTCTCTACAATATTATCAAAACAGCTGATCAGGTATGAAACGTTTCAACCTACACACACAATAAACAGGCGTGCCTCATTACAGCCACCACAGTAGAGACCCTAATAAATAACGTTTCAGCAAATAAATAAGAAACATTAGAACTGTGCTGGAAATACTGGAAATCTTAAATTGAGGATTTGATTATGGAGTTGTATAAAAATAATTTTTATTATTATTATTATTTTAAGGAACCTATATATATAACAAATTTCAATATAACAAAGTTCAGAGTCCTCAACTTCATTATATAGAGGTTTTACTACAATTGGTAATTTGTAAAAAAAAAATTATGACATGACAAATGAAATATTGCCTTACTGTTGGTAGCCTACATCTAGAGCTTTAAGAGTGAAGATCTCTTCTTGCATTGTTTTACAGATATTCACTTCAGCTACAATACAATCAAATAATATAAATAATGAATATTGATAGTAATTATTGTTATAAACATTAATGATAATGCTATTAACATAAATAACAATAATTATCCATTAGCAATGATCTGAACAGAATTACACAGTAATATACAAGACAAAAGACATGGTTACCCAGGTTAGGACTAAGTAACTGGGAACAAAACAAATATATGAATGACATTATCTTCCTTGCCTCTCTGGATACGCTACTATGGTTATCTGAATACACAGAAGAGTTTTCTCTCAACATGATAGGTTGTACATATGTAGGGTAGGACTGGTATTACGGAAACAAAAATGTGAGCGTTCACTGGATCATTGGCTTATTCCTTTAAAAAGAAAAGCTATGAATTTCAGAGATGACAACTGCAATACTAAAAACCTGGAAGGAGTGTTATGAAAATAAATCCACAATTTCCAATTCCTGTCTCCATGAAAACCTGCTACTGTGTAGTTATCAGAAGTCTGATATTCTGATGTTGCATTTTTCAGCATCCACGGGATTCACAATTGAGAATACTTCTAAGCAAATGAGTTTCATAGGCCATTATAATGAACACACCAATGAAACTAAGAGGTATATTTATAAAGAGGCAGAGGCAAGGGGGTATGAATAACCATCAGCAATATGTCACACTATGGGCATCTGCTCATGCTCACTACAATTGAAATAATGCATTCTTATAAAATTCAAAAGCATATATATACCTTGGGTATTGCAGAAATATTCTGATGAATGTAGGCCAGTACAAGCCAGCACTTGTGCTGAATGAAATGAGATTGTAAGAAATATGCACGTCATATTATATTTACTTGTAAAAATTGATATGTTATAAAAAAAATCCGCTGGTCACAGGAGCCAACCAGTCTGAGGCATGTACTGTCTTCGCTCACTTGGAAGCCGGGATCATGGGTTTGAATCCCACATAAGGCAGGGATGTTTGGTACATGCATGTGTTTATTCTCTGTTTGTGGTGTCCTGTGTTTAGGTAGAGTACTTGAGATGAGCTGATCACTCAGCCAAGGAGTCCTACCATCTATAAAATGATCATGAAACTGAAAATCAGAGGCCAGGGCCCAAGGGGGGCTGTAGAGCCAGTGGGGGAAAGAAAAGAAAGAAGGAAAAAGTTTGTAAAGTCATACCTTTCTGTCAGACTTAAAAAGACTAAAATTCTTGGTATTTATGGCATCGAAGAAATGAACAACGCCCCAAAATAAATTCTAAAAGAAAGCAATTCTGTAAAAATCATTATAATTAAAATTAATTACAGAGACAACATAATTTCTAAACCTATAAAAAGTCAGTCTGAATCCTATGCGCCGTAAATTTAATACCAAGAATGAGCAGATGCCCCAAGATCCACACAATGAACAAGAAGTATTCAGCCATATACATTACATTATGTGAAATGGCTGATATTCTCAACTACATAGTAATAACTGGAGCACTCTCTGAAATAAATGACCAGCAGAGCAATGGTTAACTGTCAAAAACCAGAAGCTGAAATGTAGGTACATAATTCACAAATTAAAAATTATGCATATTTACACTAAACATGATACCAACTTTGGACTAAAGCCCATAGCTAGTAATATGTGCTTGTAACTGAAAGCAGCATGAACTAGATGATCAGAAGAGATGCATGCATAAAGAAATGCTGTGTATCCATTGCATAAGCCTTCCAACATGTTTGCAGTTGTCTGGTCCTGGCAACAGAGTCACTGGCACACAGATATAATGGAATTATCCAGGAAATATGGACAAATTAAAAAAAATAAGTCAGTTCATTTAATAATCTTAAAACCAGATTTATTGAAACATGTGAGATCTGGGGTTCTCACGGCAGTGGCTATGAAGAACACTATCTTCTGGGATATGACATCATGCAGATTGATATAAGTTTCATCTTCTGTCAGGCTACAGAGCATCAAGTGCCAGATGATAGAATTCTTCATTTAAAAACTTCTCAAGAAATCATATCCAATCACATTCTCGTGGAATATCTCTTTATATTGTTCAAAACCTGCAGGAACAAATCTAAGTGAAAATAAGAGACACTCTCAAAGTATCATAAATTTTCCAATGCGATGGTCAATTTTTTGTTACAAACCTTTGTACTGCAATTACCTACAAACTTACAAAATGTAATTTAACATGAACATGCTATTCATGACATATACACAACTAAATGCTATATGTAGCTTATACCACCCTTACTCAATATGAATAAAATGATTTCATCAAAATGTAATTGAAGTCCTTTGAGACGCAACAGTAGAAATCGCCTCCATTTGCATCTGTTGAACCACCATGAACACAAAGAGCAGAGAAATTAGAATGGCTATTTTAATTCATGAGGTTCAATACTGAATAATTATGATGCATTTAATCTGAAAACTCTGTCCACAGATCTATATGTCACCACTGATTGATAAAAAAGCATATGAACTATACAAGTGAGTTTCTTTGCCAATTGGTATTATCATAAAAAAGCTGAATTAGGCATCTGACAGTTTCTGGAATGGGACCCGCTTTGATTAGAAATACCCAAATACCAGACGAAACTGAACTGGAGAAGAAAATTATGCATGGTCTCTCTAATAAAGGCATACAAATATGCTAACTGAAGAAATTTTAACCTATTATTCAAGCTAGAAATGTATTAAAGATATTCAAATATAATAAAACTTTTAATTAGTATGTCTTCTGTTTATATTCAATCTGACAGACATCTGCTCATCTACAATAATAGTTTTAATCTGAGTCCCTTTCTTAGGCATGCATTTTGACATAGAAAACAACCATCAAAAAAGATTCTCACAAGAAAAACAAGACTCAAGCACCAATGCCTTCATTGAAAAAAAACAGAATAAACATAAACATATAACTTCACTATAAAATCTCACTATATTGTCATATTAGTCTTTCACAAATGAATAAATTAAATTATGAGCAAAGTTTTGAACATTTGTATATATGTAACTGAAACTTATGCTCAGTTTCAAAAGCTGCCAATCAAAATCTGCTACACTTCATCTTACTTGTCCATTATCCAAATTACAGTTATGTTCAGTGGGTTAAACTGCAAACTCAAAATGAATGCCTGAAGATGGGTGTCTCTTTAATAAGGTCTTCTATATATAAAAAAATACAAAAAGAAACAAAATTACATATTCTGTGGATAAGATTGTTATGTATACATTTTTACATTAAGTTTAATTAAAACTCTTGTTCTTGTGAATAAACTATGCAAAACAATTTAACATTACATCGAGTCCCAACAGAATTTCATTTAGTTTGATCTTGACACACAGTACAAAACAAAAGTTTAAAATAAGAAGCCAGCTTATATATTACTTCTCATAGTAGTGAAGTAACTCTCACAAACTTCTAAACCTGTCAAATTTGAAAGCAAAAGTAATGTTTTAAGCTACTTTCTGTGATTTCAGTTTTCCATATTGTTTCTTAGTAAACTAATTCAACTTTCAATACAACAAAAGGCCATATTTCTTTTCAGCGTGAAAAAGAAATATCAGCATTTGTGCTGTTTGTATGACTTTTGTAAACCTATTTTAAGAACAGAGGAAACTGTTTTCTCAAACCCTGGTTTGTTTGCAGTTAAATAACATTTGAATAAGAAATAAGTTACTATAAAAAATCTATTGAGGCACTTGTAAAGTTCTATGTGTGTATAAGAAAATGTTACAATTATGCTCAAGGAAGGACCAAATCACTTCAGATGACATAAGCAGCATTTTCAAACCACACATAATATATTCACAAGCACCATTATAATGTCAATTTTCAAGAACCAATTATTAAAAACCTAGTAGCATATAATTTTTCTCCAGTGTTTGAAGAACCAAGTTATGCTGAAAGTAAAGAAGGAAATCTCCCAATATTATTTGAAAACAGACTTTTGTCATAATTAAAACATGTCTACACCATACACACACATTACAATTCAGACACTGTGAAAGGGTAAAATTCTGCTGAAGCACAGAATATACTTGAAATGCAGTGGCTTGGCTGTTATGCTACAGGGACAAATGTGTAGGTCTATTTCTAGCCATGCCACAACTCACCTTCCTTTGTGCAATGCAGAGATCTGTGTGCAAGAAAAGTCAAGTAAAAGCTAAAATATCAACAGGAAAGTATAATATAAAGTTAAAATAAAATTCAGACTTTTTAAATACATGTATTCGAAAGGTTTTGCATATTAGCATATTTTGATAGGATTAATTTTTCTGATATAGTATCTGTATTAAAATTTTATGTAACTTTCTGTCTAAGTATATCTAGGTATACTTACATTGTAAGTACATCTAAGTATATCTACATATATATATATATATGATAATTTACATATTATTTTAATGACAGCATATTATCTGAAAGCCAGAATATATAAGTGACATTACAGAAGATTCTAACATCAGTATGAACTCCACCCTCTTTTGACTTTTCCATCAAGATATATCCAGAAACTAAAGCACTGTCACCTACACTATAAAGGAATCCTCACACTTTGGTTCAACCAGTTTACACCATATTTTCAATCTGTACAGATTTAAAATTTTAAAGGATCAACATATCTGTCCAAAATTCATTCCAGTCACTTGTGATATTTCAAATCTTTGTAACTGTTGACAAAACAAACAAGTTGATAAAACCCAAAATGTGCCACAACCAGTTCTAAATATGTTTCTCCTGATGGCTTGTAAGATACTTGAGACAAATCTTCAAGACGACCACCTGTGTCTACATATCATGTGTGAGCTGAATACTACTACTGTTGGTGTCTTGCTTAAAAGGTATACACAAATATTATCTAATTCACTGTCTCCCATATGGGTAAATTATGGACATTCTGAACCATCTTCAGCTTCCCAATGGTAGGCATGTCCAAAGTGCCATGGGAAAAACACTAAACACAAAGGTGGGTTCCTCTTGTAGTTGTATCAGTACAATGACAAACATATATATCAATGGAATGCTCATTCTAACACCAATACACATATTTCTCCACATTTCCGATCAGTAGTAACCCTGAACCTGAGATAAACACTCATTAGGGGTTTTGGATGGCACTTTCACCAACCTGATAACAACAGGTCGCTCACCAGCACAGGCAAGACTGCTCCTGCCCCTCACACTAGATGATGGTGAAACGGGAGGATTCATAGCAATGCAGTCATTCAAATGACAGATATACCGGTACATATGTACAATTATTTCGTATGAGTATCAACTGTAAAATATACATTAATGATTTTAAAACAGAATGCTGCTGGATAAACTGAGCACTTTGTTTGCAGCCATCTGACATAAGGGTATGGTATAATATGTCTTCCAACTTGCTACAACACTTCAGCTATGGAAAAAGGTGAGTGTCCTGAAAGTGCATCTGTGGATCTCATACCCATGAATCCCCACCAGCTGGAGTACTCCTGTGGCCGTCCATCACCATCCCCTTTCCTGGTTCTTCATATCCCCACATGTCACCTGGACCTGGAGGGAGCTGGCCATCATATTGTGGCTGTGCGCCTGCCTCATACTGACGGTTCTTTTTCTTTTCCCGATTTACTTGAGCATAGAGAGGTTCACCTGGCTTGGCTAGCTGGAACAAATGCAATATAGGATCTTCATTAGCTTTACCAAACAGATGGAAATTTAAAAATTTGCCCTGTATGGGCTTTATTAAATACAAGTTACATGCAACATCTGATCTTGGAAATTTGCAGAATTCATACATATTGTTGAATATTCATACATATTCTTACAACAGGTGTTAAGCTGACATCAAATCTAAAAAAAAAATCTGTTTACATGGAAGACTATTTCTAAGCAATTAAAATGGAATACTGTTAAGTTACCCACACTACAGTCTGCAGATAAGAACATGGGAACTAACATCCAATAAATAATGTTTTATAACACAATACTGTTCTGCATAATATTGATGACAAGAAAACAAAAAGGATAAAACTGAAAATAAAAGAAACTGGAATACAAAATAATGTCAGGATATATATCAGGCTTCCTCACAAAGCATAAATTTTCATACTGATAAAAAGTGGTAGATTATACAAGGTTTTTGTTCAAACAATAAAATATTTCAGCAATGCCTCCACAGTTGGTCCTTACAAAAAGTCAATGCATGTCACTGAAAGGATGTAACTGTGTAATTAAACTTTAAGTTCCTTGTTGTTGTTGTTGTTGTTGTTGTTGTTGTTGTCCTACTATTTTTTTTTGGAATGGGAAATTAAATGCAAGAGTTAAAAATAAATCACTCAATGAAAAACTAAAACTGAGTATGTATTCCATTATCAGGTTGTAGAAACTATGATTAAAAACACTCACGGATCTGCCACTTAGCATCATTTGGCATTCACTATGCCTGCTGTGCAATAAGGAATGTGTTCATGCAGTCTTAGAGTGGGCTGCACACATGCTACACATTTCATGTCATAACCTTCCCTGTCTTTCTTTGTGTGAAACTACGGTATACATTTAATGTATATTTCTTCCATGTACAAATGTGATGGCCATATATTATTCTATATGCTGCTCATCTGAGTTTTGGTTATTTACCATTAATGTGCACCTGCTGAGATATGTAGCAGCAAATCTGAGATGAGGATGAAAGTGAATGATCAATGGCAGGGAAGGAAAAAACAATCAGGTATTATCTTGCCAATTTCTTCACTGAATGAGGAAAAGAGATGAAAAATATGAATCAGGATTTAATTGTTTGTTGCATCCTGTTGTGTATTTTAATGAATATTAGATTTAATTTTACCGACCACACAACATCAGAGGACGCCGAAGAACAACAAGACCTTCAAAAGTGAAAGTTCTGTCAATGTGATGAGTTGAAGTTTATTTCATGAACTGTTTAACCAAGTGGTAATATAACTAGTTACAGTGAACTAAATTTTAAATTTTAAATTTTAACTTTTAACATTTGTATTTTTAACTTCTATTTTATAAGAACTTGACACACATTATTTGAGCGTGGACCTGAACAGGATACAGGATCAAAAATAAGTGGAAAAATGAAATGTGATTGCGTGTGATTGTGCAACTGTGTTCGTACACCTGAGGATGACCTCTTGAGGTCGAAACATGTAGTGTGACAGTAAATTAAAAAAAAAAGTGTTGTGTGGTCGGTAAAATTAAATCTAATATTCATGAATCAGGATATTTAGTACACACAGGCAATGAAAGACTGTGGCACATGTCTCATCAGTGTTACACACAGTTTTAATAGCATACAATACAACAAGGGGTCAACACCACAGATGGATAATCTGACTCACTTCATGGAGCTGAGCCCTACTTGAGGAGCCACAAATTGTATAGCTACCCAAGAACTTCCCAGCAATTTATGGAACCCAAAGGTTAATTATCATGTTCACAAGAACCCTCTGGCGGTCCCTATCCTGAGCCAGATCGATCCAGTTCATAACAACCCATCCTATTTCTTTAAAGTCCATTTTAATATTATGCACTGACCTATATCTTGGTCTTTCTAGCAGTCTCATTCCTTTTGGCTTTCACACTAATACATTATATGCATTTCTCTTCTCCCCAATTCATGCCCTACTATTTTGTTCTCCTAGACTTGATCATTATAATTACGAGGGTCCTACTGAAAGTCATGAGCAACAACTTTTTGTAAAGTAACATGCTTTATTATTGACAAACCAAATACATCACCTCAATCTACAGACCTTACTTTATTTTTCCACATAATCGCCACTTCTCTGTACACATTTCTCCCAGCGTTCTGGGAGTCTGAAAATTCCCCTTCTGTAAAATTCCGTTCCAGCCATCCGAAGACACCGACGCACAGCTTTCTGAATTGCCTTCCTTGTCTCAAAACGTTGTCCACGCAATTGATCTTCAGAAATCCGAAAAGATGGTAGTCGGAGGGTGCCAGATCAGGGCTATATGAGGGGTGTGGAAGAACTTCCCACCCCATCATTGCAATTGCTTCCAATGTGAGGCGAGCGGCGAGGGAGCGAGGGTTGTCATGCAGGATGATGTTTCGTCCTGGACGTTTATCGCGCAATGCGTGACGGAGCTTGTGCAGTATCTGGACATAACGAGCAGCACTGATTGTTTGCCCAGGTTAAAGGAATTCAGCCAGAATAAACCCCTCTGCAGCCCGGAAGACTGTGCTCATCACCTTCGCAGCTGATGGCACTGTCTTTGCCTTCTTTTTTGATGGAGAATGCAAATGGTGCCATTCCATACTCTGCTTTTTTGTTTCAGGCTCAAAATGGTGACATCAGCTTTCGTCACCTGTCACAATACAGAGCAAAAAATCATCGCCTTCGTGTCGATATCTCTGAAGCAGTTCTGTGGTGATGGTTTTTCGCTGACCTTTGTGGTCTTCGGTCAATAACCGCGGGACCCAACAAGCACAGACTTTCCTATTGCCCAAGCTTTCAATCAACTACTGCACTGTGCCATATTCCAAGTTTTCGGGCTATTGTGTCCACAGTCACACACCTGTCATCTTGAATGAGCTCATCCACTCTTTCCTTGTTGCGTTCAGTTGAGGCTGTTTGAGAACGACCGCTCCAAAGCTCATTTTCGATGCTGGTGTTCCCATTTTTAAAATATTTCACCCATCTTCGAACACTGCTCGCACCCATGCACACACTTCCATAAGCACGCTGAAGTCTCTGGCGAATTTCTGCAGCAGGGATTTCCTCTTTCACAAAAAATTCAATGACAGCACGCTGGAAAAATTACATATCGTTGTCGGCCATTTTGTTAGGAGTGATACTGGTCACATGATGCAAGCTACTGACGTCACAAGACACTAAAGGCTAACACAAAAACTGGTTCCACCTACCACCGTACTCTCTTTCGTCTGATGTTCCCAGGTTGCATGCAAAAAAAAGTTGCTCATGACTTTCGGTACGACATACATATATCTGGTGATGTGTCTAAGTTCCAAAGCTCCTCATTAGACAGTATTCTGTAACCTCCTGTCACGTCATCTCTCTTTGGCTCAAATGTTCTCCTCAGCACCTTGTTCTCAAACACCCTCAATCTATATTCCTCCCTTAATGTCAGCAAGTTTCATACCCATAAGGAATCACAGGCAAAATTATAGTTTTGTATGTTCTAATTTTTTTTTCAGACAGTAGACATGAAGACAAAAGATTCTGGACTGAATGGTAGCAAGCATTACCCAAATTCAGTCTCCTCTTCATTTCCTTCTGAATCAAGTTTTGATTTGTTCTCGTCATTCCTACATATCTGAACTGTGCCACATTTTCATGCCATGAATTTGCACTGCATTCTGGTGAAAAGACAGCAACATATATTTAGTTTTCTCTGTGTTTACTTCTCGACCAAGCTCCTTACTGGTGTCAATTAAAGTTTCTGTGTTTTTCTTCATGGTATCTATATTATCACCCAGTAGGCTCACATCATCAGTATAGACCAGCAGCTGATATGTCCCATTTAATTTCAGTCCCACCTGGTTTTCCTGGACCTTCCTAAAAGCATATTGTAAAGCAAAGTTGAAAAGTAATGGTTATAAAGCATCTCCTTGTTTTAGACCATTCTGGATAGGAGGACATTGATCAGACAAATGTTTACCTATATGGACTTTACCATACCTTTCGCTTAAACACATTTTAATGAGCCGAACTAGTTTCATGGGTATCCCAAACTCTTATGAGAATATTGTACAACACTTCCTTCCTAAGTGAATCATACATTTCCTTGAAGTCTAATTTGGCTGATGTAATATCACATTGTACTCCCATTTTATTTTCCAGTATCTGACGAATGCAAAATATCTGATCAGTACCTTATCTGTTATGTTGAAACCCACACTGATGATCCACAAAAATTTCATCTATATATGGACTTAACCTTGTGAGAAAGATATTGGATAAAATTTTGTATGAAGCTGAAAGCAGTGACATCACCTGCTAATTACTTCACTCAGTTTTATCTCCCTTCTTGTGAACTGGTATAATAATAAACTCCTTCTACTGATCAGGCAATTTTTCCTTATTCCAAATATAATTAATGAGCTTACAGATCTCAGATGAAATGTTTCACCTCCTGCTGGAATTTGATCACTACCTGGTGATTTACACCTTTTCAACTTTGCAATAGCAATTTCAACCTCAAAAGGACTAGGATCAGGTACTAATGGCTCAGCTGTATGGATTTCTACCTGCCCAACGTCACTGACCCTAAATACATTCAGTAACTGAGAGAAGTAGTTCTTCCACCTATTCAAAATGTTGTGGGAATCTGTAAGCAGATCACCATTCTCACCATTCACTAAGTTACTTCTAGGTTGGTAACCACTCCTAAATTCACTTATTCCCTTATGCAGTTCTCTAAGGTTCTTGTTCTTACTGTTCCTTGCAAGCTTATTAATTTTGTCTTTCAGATATTCCCTCTCTTTATTCCTGAAATTCCTATTGGCTTCAGATTTTATATTGTTCAGATTATCCCCATTTTGGATCCTGTAACCACTGCAAGCTGGCTTGTTTCCTTTGGCCTAATAATTCTGAGCATCCTTCGTTGAACCATGGCTTATGCTTCTTCAACTCATAATAACCTAGACTCTGTTTT